ATGGGTAATGACATTGGATCAGTAATAAAAGTCTCGAACAAAGAAAAGCCCAGAACCAAATGGCTTCACTGCCAATTTCTACTAAACCTACAACGAATTAACACCAATTTTCCTCAAACTGGTCCAGAAAATCGAAGAGGAGGAAATTCTTCCTCACTCAATATATGAGGCCAGCATTACCCTGATACTAAAAACAAACAAGCATGCAACCATAATAAAAAAAAAACTACAGACCAGTATTTCTGATGAACAGACACAGGCTGGCCCGAAGATAGTTATCTCAATTGATTGTTCACAATCAGTTACAAAACAGTATTGGTATTGATATAGAAGCAGACATATACACCCATGGAACAGAATAGAGAACCCACAAATAAACTCATGTATTTACAGCCAACTGATTTTTGACAATGCACACCAAGAATATACAATGGGGAAAGGGCACCATCTTCAGTAAATGGTGCTCTTCAGAAAATAGGATATTCATAGGCAAAAGAATGAAATGGAATTGTTATCTCTCACCATACACAAAAATTAGTTCATGGTGGATTCATAACTTAATTGTAAGACCCTAATCTATAAAACTACTAGAAGTAAACATAAGGGAAACCCTTTAGGACATAGGTCTAGACAAGGATTTTATGGCTAAGACCTCAAAGGCGAGACAACAGAAACAAAAATAGATGGGATCACATTAAATTAAAAAGTCCCTGTACAGCAAAGGAAACAGTCCACAGAGTGAAGAAAAAACCTGTTGAAAGGGGAAAAAATTTGTAAACAATCTGACTAGGATCTAATATCCAGAGTGTACAAGGAACTCAAGGAACTCAAACAACTGAACAGTAAAAATATCAAATAATTTTATTTTAAAAATGGCAATGTGTCTTCTTTTTATGTCTATCAAAAGAAGATAAATGGCTAAAGAGTATATGGAAAAATGCCCGGCATCACTAATTATCAGGAAAAGACAAATCAAAACCCCAATGACATATCATCTCACCCCAGTTAGAGTGACTGTTATTAAACAGACAAAAAAATTAGCAAATGCTGGTGAGGATACAGAGAAAAGAAAACTCATATACGCTGTTGGGAGTGTAAATTAATACATCCATAGAAAACAACATGGCACTTTCTCAAAAACCAAAAATAGGGCTACTGTATGATCCAACAATCCCACTACTGAATATTTGTCCACAGGAAAATAAATTAGAATATCAAAGGGACACTGGCGCTCACAGCGCTATTCGCTATAACCAAGATATCAAGTCAACCCAAATTTTCATCAGTGGATGAACGGATAAAAAAGATGCGGTGTTTATCTAGACAATGAAATACTATTCCACTGTGAAAAAGAACGAAATATCAATTGCAGCGACATGGATGGAACTGGAGTCACCATGTTAAGTGAAATAAGCCAGACATGGAAAGACAAACATCACATGTTTTCACGCTCTTGTGGGAGCTGAAAAAGTGGGTCCCGTGGAGGTAGAGAGTAGAATGATAGCAGAGGCTGGAAAGGGTGTGTGAATGGGTTAAGGGAGGGGTGAGGGAGTGAACAGAGGTTGGTTAATGGATAAAAACATGCAGTAAGGTAGAAGGAATAAGATCTGATGGTTGATAGCAGAGTGACTATAGTTTCCAACAATGTCTTATGTTTTTTTAAATAGCTGGAAGAGAGGACTTGAAATGTTCCCAACCCATAGACATGATAAATACTTTAAGTGGTGTACCCCACATATCCTGACTTGATCTTTAAATATTCTATGCATGGAACCAAATATCACATGTACCCCATAAATATGTACCAATTATGATTATGTGTCATTAAAAAATTTAGACCGGGTGCAGTGGCTCAAGCCTATAATCCCAGCACTTTGGAAGGCTGAAACAAGAGGATTGCCTGAGCCCGCGGGTTCGAGACCACCTCAGGCAACATGGCGAGACCTCGTTTCTACAATAAATCAAAAAATTAGCCAGGCATGGTATTTGGAAGGCTGAGGCGGAAGGATCGCCGGAGCCTAGAGGTTGATGCTGGAGTGGCCGTGAGTGTGCCACGGCACTCCAGCCTGGGCGATAGAGTGAGACTCCAACTCAAGAATAAATAAATAAGCAAATGAATGAATGAATAAATAAACAAACAAATAAAATTTAGGTATGTAAACCAGATCTTTTCCCTGGTTTCCTCCTATCCCTTCTTCCATCTTTTGAAGGAAGGAGCAGATGTATTATTAGTTCATTTTTCTCATGTGCACCTGAGACAGGTTGAAATGCTTAGTTAGAACATAAGCTGACACTTCCTGATTAGCTAACAGTTGACTTATTGATGATTCTGCAAGCCAATGGTTCTCTCTTCTCCTCTTCTAAAGACCTCTACTTGACCTGCTTTGGGAGCTGTCATGGAAAAAATATCCAGACCCAAGATACTCCAGAATTCATGGAGAATATTTGGATTAGGAAATGGTGGGAAGAAAAGGCCTCTAGAATCCAGATCTTACAGGATAAGATATTTGGGAAGAGTTAGCTCACTCGACTTAATGTGTTTATTCTCTAAAGACATTATTCTTTATTCTCTAGGTGATAACATGCCTGAAATGTCACATTGCTTGGGAATTCAGCAACGAGAGAGACTTGCTTTCATTAACAAGCAATTTCTTAGCACACACATGAATCCCTTAAAGCACTACAGGGTTCATTGGGACTCTTAGCTTAATTGTGGAAACAGCATGGTAGGTTACTTCAGAATAGTACTGAGGTCGGGAACCAGGATGAGTAGAACAGGCCTGGCACCTGAGCTGGTGTCAGTACCCTAGATACATGGTGGAGGTGCATGTGAGGAAGTGGGCGTGAAGGGAGCCAGTGCTGCTATTCACCAATGTCAAGGTCTTGAGGGAACTCTGCTCTTGTTCCTAGGACCTGGAACGGACACTGATGCAATTATTGTTACAGATAGCCCCACCATACATAAAATAGGCTCTTGTGGGATGACCCAACATTGTTTCTATGAAAACATGTGTTGTAATTTCCGAACTGTCAATTTGGAGAGGAGATTTTAGAGCAAAATCCTGTTGAGCTAAACTAGAATATATGTGCATGTTCTAAAACTCTATAATTTACACACACACACACACACACACACACACACACACACACACACACACACACACACACACACGTTGTAACTAAGTGATGTTTACTTATTCCAGGGTCTTACTATCCTTATGTCGATAGGAACTCTGTTCTTAAACTTTATTTTTCTTTTTGGTCTGTGACCTTTGGTCTTTCATAGCTTACTTTGCCCAGACTCTAGAAAGTGAATAGGAGAGAGCGAACGCTCATGCTTCTCCATTTTTACCACTTTTCTTAGGTGCTCCTAGCAGAACCGTCCTTACTAGACATCCTGTGTCCGTTCTGAAACTTCAGGAAGGTCTCCTTTGCCTCCCTCTATGCCCTGCTCATCCCCAATTCACCCATAATATTGATCTTAGACTTTCTTCACTCTGGCTTACAAAGCTGTAGGAGCTGGCATAGTCCAAAATCCATAGGGTGGGCTGGCAGATTGGAGCCCCGGTGGTGGAGTTGAAGAAGGCAGCCTGCTGGCAGAATTTTCTCTTCCTCAGGGCAGATCAGCCTTTGTTTTCTCTTGGGTCACCAACTGATTGGATGAGACCCGCCCACATTATAGAGGATAATTTGCTTTACTCCGAGTCTTCTGATGTAAATATTAATCTCACGTAAAAAGAATACCTTCACAGATATCCAGGCCAGTATCTGACCACAAATGTGGGTACTGTGGCCTACCCAAGTGGGTACATAAAGTGAATCATGATAGTCTAAGTGAGTTCCCCTAAACTGTACTGCTGGCGAGCTCCACAGTTTGAACCCAGGTCTGTCTGGCTGTAAAATCCTTTCTCTGCAGCCCCCAGCACCTTAATGTGATCAGCTTGTTTCTTGTAGCATCTAACTGAGATGTCAGGCCTGTGGGAAGAACGAAATGTGGACTAGAAAGGGCACGTGGCTTGGGATCTTCAGGTGCTGGAAGAATTGGATGAGGGGAGGGCAAGTCGGGGAAAGCACATCTGGATGGCGACATGATTAGAAGAAGCTCTGACTGGGTTGGGGGATGGGCAGAGGGGATGCCAAGTTTGCTCTGATTCAACAGTTGAGGCTTGACCTGGATCTGGGTCTGTAGAACATACTCCATCCACGTTTGTATCAGAACATGAACTTCTCGAAGTTCATGTATCTTACTTATTCTTTTATATGCCCTGGGCGCCTAGTAAAATGACCAGCCGTTAGATGGAAGGATTCTCATCTACTGAACTTCCAGGAGAAGATTAGGATTAGGCTTTTGGTGTTGGATGTCTGGAGCCTGGTGTGCTCTTGCAATGTTTTCTGAGAGGTTGAACACATCTTTTGTTCCTTCTCCTGTGTGCTGTCTGGGTAACACAGGGGCCTTGTAGGGCACTGCAGGTGAGAAGCTGCTTTCTGCCTCTTGGCCACGTTCCCCGGCATGCTCTCTCGCCATCCTCAGAGAAAGTAGAACAACTGCTGGCTTGTGGCATCAACCATGTTCCTGATTGTGCATCATACCTGTCTATTCACCAGATGCTTCCCTAGGCCTATCTCTACTGTGGCTAAATATGAAAAAGCAAACTAGGTCGTGATTTGGGTAGTAGGTGACTACATTCCTATGGGCAGGTGGGTTTTTGTTGAAATAGTTTCCTTTTACTTATGTTCACATACCTGAGTGAAGGCTTGTTAAAATGGAAGAAAGGACCAGACAGGGACAAGGAGAACTGCTGTCATGACATTTGGCATCCTGACTCTAAAACCACTTGGTAAACGAACTCCTCATCAAGACAGGTGGTACCTTCAATCCGGATGGATTTACTCTGAAGTGTGGCCGCTAATCACACTTGAAGGTTCATCTAACTGTGACTTGAAAAGTCCACCTGGTTTCTGTTTTGCGCGTGACGTCAGGCTCTCTCTCTCTGCTTCAGCGGATCCCCCTGTGGTCTCGGAAGAGAAAGGGCCCTGTTACCGACTTGTCAGTTCCGGGAGACAGTGTATGCACCCTCTGTCTGTCCACCTCACCAAGCAGCTCTGCTGTTGTAGTGTGGGCAAGGCCTGGGGCCCACACTGTGAGAAATGTCCCCTTCCAGGCACAGGTAAGACACGCCCACCCGTACGCCCAGGCACATGAGTATGAGGACAGCTTTGGTGGCTTGGGTCACTGTTGGTTCCTGACTTTAATTTTTCACAATACGGGGTAAAGGTTATTATCACAGTTGGAGAAACCATAGACGTACAAGGCTGAATCAGGGGGAAATTGTGTCAGAGATGTTTTCATTTCTGTGTAACATTAGACTTCCTTTGGAATATTAAGAAAAGTCGTTATATTTTATCCTCCACTTTCAGGACTCAAAGTCTGATCCTTGAGTATAGAGAGCCCAGAAGCTCTGCCAGGCCTTGGGCCTTCCTGATGAGTGCTTGACTGTTCCCCCTTCACAGTCACTTGGCCTTTGCAGGCCGACTCATTCATTCCCTTACTGAGCAGCGTGCTTAATTTCTTTAATTGGAAATAGAGGGAATTATATTCATGGTTGAGTTCTTGTCATGAAGATTAATAACTCAAGGACAGAACCTGCCAAAACTCCTATGAGCTTCCAGGGGAGTTGGAGATGAAGAAGTTAATTATTCTTTAACCCTCAGTTTGGTGCCTAATTGCCTAATGCCCTAAAAAGGCAAATTTATCTCTTTAATGACCTTAGTTCTACCAAGAAGCCACCAGCTTCTCAAGCAGGATCTACAAGAGTTAAATAGAATAGAAAGAAACACAGCCTGCGGGTATCAGGCATGATGTTATGAAGGAAGGGGTGGCCTCAATTTCAATGGCTGAGGTGGGCCTAGCACAGTCTACTCAATGGCTTATTGATGAGATCTGCCCACCTAAGGAAGTATATTAACTCTCACGGGCTGAGTAGCAGACAAGGTTTGAATACAAATTTGAGCATCATGATCCACCTTTGTTGATGGTTAAAATCAGAAAGAATCAGAAAGGGTAATACACCATTGATGGTATGTTGGGAGACTGGATACCTTAAGACGCCTCCAAAGGGCTCTGGTACCAACCTGTGCCATCTGATTTACTCATTATTAATAATCAAGTAAATAATCTTTATAATTCATAGACACATTTCTCTTGGAATTCAATTTTGGTAGCTTTGTCATCCTTATATGAAGCATCAATCAAGATGGTGAATGTAACTCAGGGATGTTCCTCACTGATACTATGACTACATTTGACAACATTATTAAAGATAAAATTTTCGCACTTAACTAATTTTTGGTCATGCGATTTTCCAGTGAAAGTATTTAGTTTATGGATGCTTTAGCTTTGGTAAAACAAAACATGTTTTCTTCTGGAAACATCCTTTCAAGAATTGTGCTTCCCAGTTAAATGCAAGAACACGGTTTCACCTTTTAGTGTGTGAGCCTTAGGAAAACAATATTTTAGCATGCCATGAGGTATATTTAAGAGTCTCCTTTTAACTGAGGACTAATTTTAGACCCTGAACATTCAATAGAAGATCTCTTCTTCCGTGGAAGCAAGAAATGACATATTTTACTTCCGTTTTAAAAGTTGAAATGACAAAGCTGACCATGAGCTCTTTGGTGTCTGCATCTGATTATCTGCCTCCAAACTAACACCAAAGGGCTGAGGGGGATTTTCCTCATCCCCTCAGGCCACACACTGTCTTGTCGCCCCTGCCTGCCTTCCCTTTACTTATTCAAGGGGCTACACAGTAGAGGTTAACACATTACATGTGCCCAGTCTACTTTTTTTTTTTTTTAAGAATACAAAACCACTTTTTTTCCCCTCCTAGCAAGGAGAGGTGCCACAGAATAGCTCCTGGGCCTCCGGTTAGTTAAACCAGCTGGTCACGGCCTGGCTTTTACCCAGTTGGCATTCCATGACCTTTGACCTGATCATGGTGGCATCCTGATCTGTCATTTCCTTTCTGTCCTGACTTCGGTCCATCGTCCCTAGCATGTCTCACTATGCTGGGTTTCCTCTCTCTGTCCTGGGAATCTCCCTTCAAAGGCCCTCCCCTTTTTAATCCTTCTAAACCAACATCCTCATAATGGCCGATACAAGCATGTTGACTGAATTCTTTGGGTCCTTCCAAACAAACCACGAGGATTCAAACTATGAGGATTTCAGTGCCTCATCTCCCTGAATAGGGTTTTTTCTTTTCTTTTCTTTTTTAACCTTCTTGCTTGTCATCTAGCTTAGAGAGGTGTCACTGAGCACTTCGTTAATAACTTATAGAATTGCATCAAACCAAGAAGAAAAGAAAAAAGCCTGATTTTTTGCCAATATTAAGCATACATACCACATGAACTATATATAATGTATAGTGTCTTTTATACATAAGCCTCATAATATATTATGTAATAATATTTTATATATATATATACACGCACACATATATATATATAATATCTCCCAATTGATTGCATATGTGTGTGTGTAAATATGTATGCGGGGTGCCCAAAAAAATGTATTCACATTTTAAGAGATATTATCTATGTATTACTTTTTGAAGTTAATTGCATTATGACAGCAATGTGTAGTATGATGTTTGCTCAACAGTGATTCCATCATTTTCTTTTCTTTTTTTTTTTGAGTTGGAGTCTCACCCTGTCGCCCAAACGATTCCACCATTTTCTTTGTCCTGCCTGTCGCATGGTGACGCTAGCATTCATTTGATTAATGCTATCTTTTGCGTGAATATCCTACTTAAAATGTGTACACATTTTTGGGGCACCCCATGTATATATATACACCCACACACAGTCGGCCCTTTGTATTGATGGGTTCTGCGTCCATGGATTCAACCCAGATAATTAGTTGAGTTTGTGGACACAGAACCCACAGATATGGAAAGCTGACTTCTATGTCATTTCATGTAAGGAATCTGGAGCATTGTAGATTTTGATAGCCACAGGGATTTTAATCCCCCACAGATCCTGAGAGGTGACTATATATAATATGATATATAAAATACATGCTAAAAGCTAGGCTATGTTTGTAATATATGTATTCTAATTGAGTATGATAAGGAATTAACAGAGAAATGTTTAGTAAAAGAAAAGGTTGGAATTTTTTCTGTAAATAAGCAAGTATATCAGAAATTCAAGCGATTTGCTTACGTTTTGCATCTGTCTTTGAAGTTTTAAAATGTAACTATATTAGTGGTGATTTATTAAGAGATATTCATCATGCTGTTTTCCTCTGTATAAGTTTGCACTGTTAGATTTTTAAAAGGAATATTTTCCCATCCCAAATCTAGCTGCTTTTAAGGAAATCTGTCCTGGTGGAATGGGTTATACGGTTTCTGGCGTTCATAGACGCAGGCCAATCCATCACCATGTAGGTAAAGGACCTGTATTTGTCAAGCCAAAGAACACTCAACCTGTTGCTAAAAGTACTCATCCTCCACCTCTCCCAGCCAAGGAAGAGCCAGTGGAGGCCCTGACCTTCTCCCGGGAACACGGGCCAGGAGTGGCGGAGCCAGAAGGTGAGCGTGGAGCTGGATTGTGGGCTCTAGCCGTTCGTCTGCATGTCTTTGCTCTGGTTTCCATGGTTATACCCCTCTAGAATAGTTTCTCAGCCTCAGCTACTTTAGGCTGGATAACTCTTTGATGTAGACCGTTTAGGAGTATCTGTGACCTGTAACCTCTAAATGCTAGTAGCATCCTTCTGCCTCCAAAAAGAAAAGTGCAAGCATTGCAGATATTCCAAGGTGGGGGGGGGGGAGGCAAAATTACCCCTGATTGAGAGCCACCGCTCTAAAATAATATGTACCTAACCCATAACAGTATTCCATGGTAATCTCAGGGCACTGTCTTGCTGCTTTGGGGCCCTTTTATCTTGGTGTTTATTCCTGGAGAAAGACTTAGATCTTTCAGGGAATGGCCTTAATTCATTCCTCGTCTAGAGGCCCGTTTAATAAATATGTAATTACTTTATGAAGTGGAATCCACTTTTCAACTTTTAAAAAATTGAAACATCGACGACTGAGCTTCCATGAAATAAAGTTGAATGGGCAGTCAGGGCAATGGAAGACAAAATGAAGGAAGGGAAGAGACGGTCACAGGGCCCTGGAGATCACCTAAGATGGTCCTTTGATTTACTGTCAGAGAAACGTGGGACCTAGAGAGGGGACATGCCTTGCCAGGTAGCATACAAAGAGGATGTAATGGGACTGGTGACCGATGAGCACGTTTTCCCCAGGAAATGGTTCAAGGCCTTGTACTCTGGAGACAAAATTGCCTTGATGATCTCTCTGGCATTCAGGAAGTGATCATCTCTGTCTCTTCTTATAAACCAGTGTATCTGAAACCTGGAATATCTTGGTTACTACAAAAATTCTCACCCCAGATAGAACAAACATTTTAGATTTGTGTGGAGAATATAAAGAATATTCTAATATATATACATTCTAATGAAGCTCCTGTTGGCTTTTCATAGTTCATTCTTAGGTCAGAATTCAAGGTGCCCATTTATGGGTCTTGTGAGGAGGTGGGGTGCCCAGTCTCGTGGTGGGCTGGGAGCTTAGTGCAGTCTTCTTTTGGGTAGGCAGGTTTTTTCCTGGGCTCTGAATGTTCATGTGTTCTGGCCTATTTTAGTCTACTCTTTTGCTTGTTACACTTCTTCCTTAGATAGGTAGAGTAAGCAGGGCATCACCTGGAATTAACAGTACTGATCAGTTTCCCCTGTGTACTTAGTGTCATGGCCGGATGTGTGCAACTGTTTTATGCTTTGCACAGGCAGGAAATGGGCTTTGGTTCAGATTTTGCCTCAGTACTTTCTTGGTGGTAGGTTAGGCAAGACCAAAAGCTAGTTGACTTTGTCCAACTAGAAGAATACTACAGCTTTGATTTTAATGTATCTAGTACCCTGATTGCTTTTAGGGCTAGTGCACCTACCCAACCCGTATACAAATATGTTTATGGAGCCCCTGACCTACTCATGAGAAATATCCTGGTGATTGTTGACCCAGGGCTTGTGGACTAATATGAAGGGCTGATTAATGAAAAGCAAGTCTTTTAAAATGCAGCACCCCTGCCAATAATGTTTATGGTTATGTAATGTGTAATTTGTTCAATAGATGGATGCTAATTGACTCTTGATAGATTGTGAGATTCTTTTTTATTACTTGGGTAGCACATCTTTGTAAACATGTTCATAGGACTTCATTAAGGATTGGAATACTCCAGGAATATGGCCCCAATTCTCATGTCTATTATTGAAATAAGTGACATTTTCTTAACATTGACTCCAGAGAACATTTTATATATTATATACTACATTAAGGGCAAGTATTTGACCAATTAATGAAAATGCTTGTTTTCTAAGATATGGGAAGTCCCACATAATTGAGATTAGGCATAAAAGAATGTACTGGAAAGTATTGCCTTCTTTAACTTTTTAGTTTAATTATCTTAGTTTGGAATGGGAGATTTGAAAGACTAATTCACATCTACTCCCTGAACTGTAGTTGGGGCATAACATAGCACTGAGAGTTCTCTATCAGTCATGTGTAAAATTCCCCTGAGATGGCAGATGACCTTAATTCTGCATTTGCTGTGGTTTGATTCTTAATCCTTCTGGACTCTTATTGCTTTTTAAAAATTGAAATACAATACAGTAAGTTGTCTTAAGTTGTACTAATTCTCTCTTTCTTTTCTGGTTTTAGTGGCAACTATACCCCCTGAAAAGGTAATTTATTCATTGTTTGCAAATTTTGTTTTTAAACGTTTAAAATGATTTCCTCTTAGAATATGCTTTTTTAAAGACTTAAATATAGATTGTATGTATTATGCCTCATTTGGTTTAAAATAGCATTCAGTTTTTCAAGAAACATTTATTGAGCACCCATTATGTTACTGGCATTGTTCTCAGAGCTAGGAAAGCAATAGAGAACAAATCAGACAAAACTCCCTACTTTCATGAAGCTTAAATTCTAGTGAGCAAGAAACTGGAGAATAATGGAACTCTGGGACATTAAAATCAGTGAATCAACTAATTGTCTGGACCATCCATGGAAAGAAAGGCTCCTACATGTTTAGGTAATTGTATATTCTTAGATGCACATATAGTGAATGAGGTGCTTAACTCAACTGAAATCTAACATCCACGTTTGAATTGAATTAGAACAGAGCCTACCCTGGAAAGTTACAATCATATACTAGAATGTTTCTTCTTAGACATGTTTAGCAGTCTACTGGCTTTTGGCCGTGCAGGGGGTTTCTGAATTGGGAGCCTTGTTAGTAGGAAATTTAGACAGTTTCTGGCTCTAAGTCCTCTTATGTATTTTGTTCTTTCTCTGAATCTTGCTTTGGTTGTTTAGTGGATGATCATATGGAAATGAGGTAACTTCTTAGTGTTTATACATTTAGGTACCATTCATTCAGTGGGCAAGAAGGCACTATTAGAATTTAGAGGGGTGCAAGACATATGTAAATTACTATGGTTTTTTAAATCTTTAGCTTGTAAATATGGGATAGAGTAACATATATGTTATAACTTAAGAAGAAAAGAATTATAATTCTGGAGTGTTAGCACTCATCAGAGAAGCCATATTATATTGAGCTCAGAAAAGGCACCACAGATAGGCATACTCTGCGTGCCCATTTGCAGCACTTGGCATCTCAAAAGTCAGTGATGGAGAGACGTTTCCAGTGTTGTTGAGTTTGAATTTAGTTCTGCTTGGTGCCTGAGAGGTGTCATTTCCCTGGTGAGCACACCAGCCAATGGCCTGGCAGCTGCATGGTAACCCAGTTCTTCTCTGCCTATGATTGATTTGATAGTGACTCTCATTAAGAATCTGAAAGAGAGTCTGAACACTTTCTTGTATACTTTTATTGCATTTTATCTGGTGAGGCAGTCGTAGGGAAGATGCACTCTTAGTCTGTGGTCTTGCTACCTTACGAAGGTCTTGTGATGTCATGAAGTAGGTGAAGAGACAGGAGGATGGTCCAGGGGCGGGTGACTGCATGTACACAGGTGTTGTAGCAGGAACTGACCACAGAGGGAGATGGGACACCGAGATGTCTTGCCAGGAAGCTGCCTTTATTCATTGGCACTAGATTCACATCCAAAGGCTGAGCCCCTAAAACAGCGAGACATTGCCTTATATATTAATTATTTACATTGTAACCTCTTTGTCTCCCTTATAAGGTTACAATTTGGCATTATTCATTTGATTGGATATTTTGTAACTCGAGGCTGCAGTTAGCATTACATATTACACACTGATTGGTTTTACATAGTTATTTCATTTGCATGGCCTGTTTGCTGCTTGGCTTACAAGATCACTATCCTGATTGGATTTTGCCAAAAGTTTGAACATGTAGCCCACCAAAGTGGAAAGCCCACGAAAAAAGTAGCACAAAGAAACAGGAAGTAACTTATTTTCCCTTTTCTACTGAAAGTCCAATTAATCTTAGGTTCGACCCTTTTCTTACTCCTGCATTTTCAGAAGGGTCCTGCCTCAGTGTGGGGGAGAGCACAGCATGGTGAGGAAAGACTTAGAAAGAGAATTGGGGGCTCCTTTGGAAGGCTCAGGACCCCAGACTTCTCACCTGGGAAGTGGTGCAGATTCTCATGTCCACTGCCTCTGCTGATGGGGAAGTTCTATCTGTGCACAGCAGGAGTGAGTTCACACCTGATTAGGGTCAGCTCCCTGATGGCATTGACCATGGCCACGGGGAACAGGGTGCCGTGCGACTGAGACTGGTTGAACTCATCTCTCATAGGTCGTCAAAAGCTAGTTTATATTCTCAAAAAAGAGAAGAAAAATAGGGAAGAATACTAAGTGCTTGGTATTTCTGGGAGAGGCATTCTGGCAGGATTCGTTCACTGAGGTCGAAAGAAAGAGGACAGCTGGGAAGCCAAGTGGGTGATGACCACAAGCTGAGAATAAGAAAGGGGGTCGAGCTGGGGCCGTGGAGTCTATGGATAGGGAAAAAGGTGAACAGCCGTAAGAAAGTGCTGGAAGGCAAGGTTTGGAGTGAGGAATGAAAGAGGGAGCACTAAGAAGTGATTTTACATAGACTTATGACTGTGGCACTGGCAGAAATGACCAAGTGGGCATGAGAGCCTGGACAGCATTGGAGGGGGCGGATTTGAGGTACATCTCAATGGAATTACCCACCCTGTAGGCATTCACATCTACAAAATGGGATCTGTGATGAGCTCTTCAGGCAGGCTCTTTCAGAAAATGCAGAAGAAAGATGACTGTTGAAACAGGAAAAGGGCTAGGAGGTGAGCAGAAGCCAACAGAGTAAGAGTAAGCCTTCTGGAAGACAGCAGTGACCAGGGAACGTGATCTAGACTCTCAGTGTAATGGTGCTGTGAGCTTTCTGGGGTCCCTCTGGTGTGGGTGAAGTCCGGACCCTTAGCTAGGATAATAGGCTGGTCTGCATGGGCCCTAAGGAGCTGTAAGCAGACGCTGAGCCATGGATGACGACTGCTTTTTTGCTTGAGGGCCAGGGGACAGGAGTGGGCACCAGGACGTGTGCGCAAACCTCAAATCCTCCTCCTAGACAGCGGTTTTCTGTTGCTCGGCCTGGCTCTGTCTGTTCAGAGAGCTGGAGTGGTAGAGTTACCAGATGTGAGGTGAAAGGAGGCCATGATGACTGGCTGGTTTAAAATATTTGAACTCACCGCGTGTTCCTTCTTTCGACGCATCTGCTGCATCCATTATTTGATCTACTGCATGTGACTGGTCACCTTAGTGGGGCTGAGCCATGTGAATGGGGTGAAGGCTTGGTCCTCCTTGGGGGTTATTTTTGCCCAGTTGCAGACCAAATACGGCCCCCTGGGCCAAGACATTTGCTTAAAAAGCCTGACTTTGGGCCTCAGGGAGACACGGCCAAGGATGCGTGCATGGGAAACACGGCAGCTTGTCATAGGAGCACCATGGCAGTAGTTTGTTTGCTTTTAATTTCACACAATTGCACAGGTAAGGTCCTGTGGTATCTCTTTGCCTTTCTGAGAGTATAATTAATTAAATAAGTAACAAACTAATAAATACAGTAATATGTGGGAAGCTAAAAATAATTTCTGTTTTCTATTCCTCTCTCTCTTCCTCCCCCCCCTGCCCGCCCCCTCCCTCACTTTAACACAACCATCCAGGAAATACCTTCATTGGATCAAGAGAAAACCAAACTTGAGCCGGGCCAACCCCAGCTCTCTCCAGGCATTTCAACCATTCATCTGCATCCACAGTTCCCAGGTAGCCTGTGGTGATGTGTGCTGTCTGTCAGAGTATTCTGAATGAAAGCATAAGATAGGACCCGTTTGTCTTTGATTTTGCTTAATAAATCATTAGGATGCATCATTGAAGTTAAGTGTGAAAAGCGCTCGCTTAGATATATGAGTATATATATTGAATGTGAGTGTGAGGTATAGTATTGGAATTATTATAATGGGAAAGATGGGTTTTTCACTGTTTTCTGGGATCAGGAGTGGTATATCTATTACTCACACATTATTGAAGGTCACTGTGTGATGAATGGTCATTTTTCTTGGCTTCTGAGTCGTGCTCAGATACTCTTGCTAAATATTGAAACCAGAGCCGTAGATGAATACCATGAGCTTTCAGAAGCTATAACAGTTCTTTATGTCCAGAAACGACTATGATCTCTGGCTGGACTGAATTATGCTTGCATTTGGAAATGAGATCTCAACGCACATAGCAGGCTTTAATTTGCTTTTTATCCCTGACTTCCTCATACAGTAGTGATTGAAAAAACATCACCTCCTGTGCCTGTTGAAATCGCCCCCGAGGCGTCCACGTCCAGTGCCAGCCAAGTGATCGCTCCTACTCAAGTAACAGGTCGGTGCAGTGTTTGTTGTGTGATGTGTCTGACGTGGGTCAGAACCTCATTTTAAATGCAGTATCACATATACAGGATTGCTCATGCAGGGTTGGTCATTATGGCAAATATTTGGAAATAATCTAAATATAGTTAAAAAGGAGGACTATAGATAAATTATAGTGCATAGGCTTTGGAGTATCACATAGCTATTAAAGTATGCTTTAAAAGAATAATGTCGCATGGCGGATGAGGCGGGCCCGGGG